GTGGGGGCCGACCTCCACCTTCTGCCAGCGCAAGCGCGACAACGCTGAACACCGGGCCGCTGAGCACCCGGGATTCACAGGGAACGGGCGCAACGCCAAGAAAGGTGGGTGGCACGTGGAAGACCCGGGCACTCGCAAGCGGTACCCCGAGGAGTGCCGCAAGAGAAGGCCGCAAACAATGAAGCGTAACTACCCCCAGGTTGCCACATTGTCCGTCCGGTCCGGGGGCGCAACTAGCTGCACCCCGCGCCCGAATTCCTCTAGCTCATCGACGCCGAAGAGCTCTACGAGGCATTACAGCTACCAACCTGAGGATATGACAAGCAAACGCGGCACAATCCACTCCACGTTACAAAAATAGTGGCTCTCAAAAATAATTCTCAAATCTCTCAGAATATTCCAAAAACCGACCCCGGGTTGCCAATACCCGTCCGGTCCGGGTGGGTCAACTAGCTGCCCCCCGCGCCGGAATTCCTCTAGCTACGAGGCATTCCTGTACCTCACCGATGCCGAAAAGCTCTGCGAGGTACTAGCTGCATCCCGCGGGACTTCCTCTAGCTCATCGGTGCCGAAGTTCTCTACGAGGTATTCCTCTTTAGCTTCGCCCCTTCGCTCGCATGGAAGCTCTACGAGTCAGTCCTCTAGCTCATCGAGAGCTCGACGAGTTACATGGGAGACGCTTGCGACGACGCTGGGAAATAGCCCTTGGAAGCTTGCAGCCCTCGGAGAGAAAGCTGCGAAAGGGCCGGGAAAAGCGCTTCCAGCGCGCGCATTGGGAACGAATCGAAACCCCCTTCTCGGGGCCCGCTGCATATTCGCAATGTGCTCAGGGGATGCTTGCCCAGGGGCCTCGGGGACGGGCTGGCGCGGGAAAATGCCCGGGTCGACCTGAGATCTGGATGGCGAGAAAGAGTAGCATCGAATGGATCCAGAAAATAAATATAAAAAGTGAATTATCAGAAATCTTCTCACATATTTGCAACTTGGCAAATGTTACAGATTTGCCCGTCGACTTTTTTCTAACCAGCCAGAAGTGATCCCGTCTTACTCTTAGCTTCTGCTGCTTCGCTATATGGCTAGCGACTGGAAGTGATCCTGTAAAACTCCGAACTTCCGCTGCTTCGCTATGTGGGAAGCTCTGCGAATAAGACCCGGATTATGACGCGATCAAATGGCTTGAAAACAGAACAGCTTCAACGGAATTGCGAAACAAATTCAGGCGCGGGCATTCGGGAACGCATAAGAAACGCCCCTACTGATCCGCTGCCAGTTCAAGCAGCCCACTCGACCTAGGATGCCTTGCCCGGGCCCTGGAGAGGAGCTGACGCAGCCCCGCCCGCTGGTTTCTTTTGCGCACCCCTCTTGGCCCTCAGAGAAGTGGGAGCCGGCAGTAAACCGTCAACCTTGGTTCTTGCTTTGCTCGGAGCCCACAGGGAACAGAGGAGCCCCCGCTCCGGATTCAGGTCCGCAGCAGAGGAGCAGGTGCTCGACACCTCCAGCGAGGCGCTTGCTGGCCAAAAGCTCAGCTTGACAGGCACTGCAGGAGGACGGGATGGCGGCAGCCTCAGAAGCTATGTTGCATAGCCAAACGCCATGACAGAGATCAAGAGTAGGGCGAGGGAGCACAAATATGTCAAGGACCCAACCTATGCCAACACCATGGGAAGAGCGGCCACCATCAAAGTAGCCACGAATCCCTTTTCATCTGCTCCCGTCTGACAGCGAGAATGCGCGGGTCGAAAGAGTAGTGAGACTGGCCCGCGCAGGCCTTCCAAGTCTCAGCATCAGCACGCTCATTACCTTCACGGTAAAACCACTTCCATGGTTCCAAGCCCCAGGACGGCGTTCTAAGTTCAACATCGCAGGTACAATGCAATCGATACAGGATGCGTTGTATATGCGCAATCGTGTCACAATACACTACAGTCGTACACGCCTGTCTTCCCACACGCCAATTTACCACCACCCGGGAGTCCCCATGGAGCTCAATAGGGATCCACTTGGCCTCATAGTTCGACGTACTGGCGTTTTCAAAATTGAACGCTAACCGTTCGGCAATATGATCTCCTCCGACGCTTCCTCCCCCTCCTCGTGGTTCTTTGGTATCCAGGGCTGCGGCTCAGGAAGAAGTACATACTCAAGTATATGTTAAAGGTTCCATTCAGCAAGTAACGCACGGACTAAACTCCTCCACCCCGCCTGAGTCCAGGATCAAGCATTATACCAAGCACCCCCTCCCCCCGTTTCAAGTGGCAACCCCCACGGACGGATACCAACAGTTCTTGCACCTTCTCTACGACGAGTACGCGATTGAGCCTGCTGAGAGCCAACACATGGAATGATATCATCCATCTGCTGTGTCCACGGGCTAGCAGCATGCATCATTGTGAAACGAGCCTGGGGGAAGGGGTCGTCGGCGCTCATTCCGACCATGTTTTTGTGATACCACATGCGTTTGAACTCAGGCGTGTGCTCTGGCGTCGGCGTCGGCGTTGGTTCGGGCCCTGGTCCAGTCCTGCTCCTTTTCTCAGCAGCTGTTCTCGAAGCGTGCACAATGAGGTTCCGACGATTGGCGGCAGGGGCTGGAGGCTGAACTAGCGCGGGCGGCGACTCAGGCCGCACACCCATCTGGCCACCCCTCACGGCAGGGGGGTCTCAGCAATTGCGAACAACTTTCTCCTCTTCTCAGAAGCACCATCCTCAAAGGGGCTTCCGCGCGATATTCATGAAAACGCTGTCGCACTCCGTGGAATATTACCCTGGTCATCCCAATCATCAAGAGGATCGATAGTCAGCTGTGCATCCGCACACTCGTCTGTCGTCATACGATGCTGCCCCGTCGTCATCATCGCCGCGTCTTCTGCCCAACACCATTGTTTGAACATGAATAACTGGACGGCACTCGGCATCAGAGTTGCCTTGAGTGCCCCTCGCGCCGTCAGGACCACACTTTGGAAAAATCTGCGGCCAAAATTCAGTGTTACGCTCCCTTCTCCACACCACCTTGGACAACAATCGCCCCTCAAAGGCGCGAATAGTTCCAAGGGCATTTTTATCAGCCGTCATCCCCTCCACGGCGAAGAGAAAGCGGTTCCTTGCCCGTGAATCAAATCGCTGCAATCGCTTCTTCAGCTTGATAACCTGACACATGCAGTACTTCTTCTCCTGCCAGAATGCACGCTGAGCGAGAAAGAAACGGTGAGCCAGATCCTCACGCTGGTGCATTTTATTCTCAAGAATAGTTCCCAATATTCCCGGCCGATCCGTCGCATGCAAAATGATTGTGGCCCGCCGATTGTTATCAGAAGAACGCTGGTCTCGCTCCGCCCTCTGCTCTCGCGACTCACTCCGATATCGATCTTCAAAAGGACATTCCAAAGGGCGGGATGCAGGATCATCAAAACCGAATCGAATGCACTGTAGACTGCTCGGTTCCCAGCAATAGTTTCGTTCATAAAGAGGTACACTGATCTCAGCAATATGCTGTTTGGCAGAAATAGGTACTCGATCGACCTCAGATTAAGATGGCGAGCTGAAATAAGATCGAATATGAGGAGAAAAAATACTAGAGCTCTGACGGATTGCTGAATTTCGAAAAGTTCTTTAAATATGGCACAGGCCCCCCCCCCAAAAAAAAAAAATCCGTCGAGATGTTTTTGCCAACTGGGAGCCGGCCGTAAACCGTCAACCTCGGCCACCGCCGGAAACTCGTAGAGCTCCCTCGCGCAACGCGGGCGCAGCAATCTCGCATTCCGCGCGCGCGAAGGCGAGCAAGATCAGAAGAAGGAAAAGAAGGAGGAGGAATCGAAGAAGCAGCTGATGGAGGAGGGAGAGGAGGAGGAGAAGGAGGAGAAGGAAGAGGATGAGGGGCAAAACTACGCATAGTTTTTTGTTCCAGCTCTGGTAGCAGACCGAGTGCAAATAGTTGTTTTGGTTCCAACTCTGGAAGCAGACCCAGTACGGGCATCTGGATACTCAAGACTAGCGCGTCTGGAAATTTCCATCCGATTGCAGTGCCAAAGAACTCTGCGGTTCATATGCAGCTCGAGTTCTCGAAAGAAAAGGACATCACGTCTGTTAAAAAATAGCAGAGTACGAATAATTGTTTTCGGACCCAGCTCTGGTAGCAGACCGAATTCAGGTATCTAGATACTTCAGACTAGCGCTTATGATCATGTCCTCCCGATTGATGTGCCAAGCAGCTCTGCAGCGCATCTGCAGCTCGAGATAAGTCAGGAAAACCATGATCATCTCTAAAAAAAGTGGCCGGGTACAACTAGTTGTTCGGGCCCCGCTCTGGTAGCAAGCCGTGTTCGAGCATCTAGATACTTAGACAAGCACGCCTGCTGACTCTGTTTCGATTGCTGTGCCAAACAGCTCTGCAGCTCATCTGCAGCTCGAGTTGCATCAAGAAACTTATCGTCATCTCCAAAAAATATTAGCTGGGTACGAATAGTTTAGCGGACCCAGCTCTGGTAGCAGACCATGGTCAGACACCTAGATACCTGAGACCAACGCGCCTGATGATTCTAGATGAATTCGGTATGCCTGCCAGCTCTGTAGCTCTTCCACAGCTCGAGTTAAGTTAGGAAACCGACAGCATCTGCGACGATGACACAAAACAGCCCATCCCACCCACATGCTTTTTGGCAGTAGTAGGTACCCGATCAACCGGAGATTAAGATGGCGAGCTGAAATAAGATCGAATATGAGGAGAACAATAATAGAACTCTAACCACTTGTTGAACTTCGAGAAAATCGATGAAAACATTACACACAAAAAAAATTCCGCTGATATTGTTTTGCCAACTGGGAGCCGGCGGTAAACCGTCAACCTTGGTTTTTGAGTTTGAGTCAGGGCGCGGACAGCTGTGACAGCTGAGCCCTAAGACTCCCAAACGGAGCACAGGGTAGCTAGAGAAGGCATCTCTTATCATCACGCTGCCGAGCCACTGAGGCATAGGCATCGGAATAGGACGCAGGAACAAGGAAAAGGATGCAGCACGACATGTGAAATTGCAAAGGTGTAGGAACAGGTTAGAGATGAAAGAGGCTACCCAAAACGTGCACCACGGCCATACAGAGCCGTTGCGCTGCAAACATCACACAGAACACGACAGAAGCAGAGGCATCAAGCGAGAAAGCTTCCTCCGCCACGGACAGCCACGTCCCGTGCACACACAAACCTAAACACCATTCTGCAGCACATCCCCCCACAGAGGGACCTCCGTCGAAGAATCCACGGAGGCCGCCTAGTTTTGTTTTGCTCGCATGTTCAATGAGGGAAGTATGGAATACAACGTAACAATTTCTGGTTCTGGCCAACCATGTCAGCCTATGTGCAATCACTAAATCAATCAATCAATTGGGTATCCCGCCTTGGCCGCCAACTCGCGGTAGTTCTTTACTTTGCGACGCATCCATTCATCCTGAAAATTCGTCACGTATCTCATGGCTTCCGTAACGCTTTTGGGAACGAGTCTGCGGTGACTAAAGTCTCTGATATCCGTCGACAGATGGGTCAAATTGGCTATCGGGCCAAGTCTCGCGCGATCCCGAAGAAGCGCTTCAAGCAACACAGCCTTTTCCTCGGCACCCGAGGCCATAAGGCGATACAGCGTGGCAGCCGTGAAAGAGTGAACGAGCTTTACCCAGCCAGACTTGCGGAAGCAGTATTTCCTGATCCTTAAATTACACGCCAACTGAAGCAAATAATCTGCGTGGTTACGTTTCTCCTCGTCCTCCGTCACTGCTGAACTCACAACTGCATTAGATAAACTCCCAGTCGTGGAACTCCCAGGGTGTGAAGCCATAGAATCTTTATGATGAGGAGGCCAAAAGGTTACACGAAGGTTCCTAATGTGGCTCTGCAAGCGTTGTTCCATCAACCGTTGAGCACCACTTGAGTAGAATGTCAAGCACCGCCAATGTCCGAAGCACCACCCCGCAATACGGTGCATCCTTATCTTGTCCAACCGACACTGCTCCCAGAGTCTCTGGATGTCCGCGCCCTCCTCCCCATCACGGTGGTAAGCCTCACACAGACGGTGCAGGGTAGCCTGTTTCAAATAGAAATTTGCCCTCTCTCGCAGGGTGGCCATTTTATCCCATGCGTGGAAGACCGCATCCCAATCAGCGTCCTCCTTGTGCAGGTGGTCCGCCACGAGCAGGCGCGCGATGTGCCTCTGGAGCACCCATGTGGTAGCCGTGCCGGCGCACTCGACGTGATTTGAAGAACTGCACAAGTCCACAAGGACGGAGGTTGGGGAGGATCGCAAGTAGATGGATGGGCCGACTTTGACATAGAAGAGCGAGTTAGAACTGCCTGAGCCTTCGCCCTTGCCCGCCTCCTGTTTCTGCGGTGCCTCTGGCCTTTCCCACGGCCAGCATCCCCCTCTGGACTCGGCGCCTCCTCGGGACTCTCAATTCCCATTCGAAGTTTGCATGCCTTGAGCGCCTCGATCCGAGCATGAAACTCACCTTTGGGGAGCCGTTCGAATTCCCGCCAAAGAGCAACTGCATCGCCATTGGCACGGGCCCAGTCCCTGGCAGCTCGACACTCAGATCGATTGCTCTGCAACTCATCTGAACAGAGCCGGGAAGAAGAAGCACAGTTATCTTTACGCTGGTCGACTTCGCACTCTCCGCGGGTTTTCGAAGATGCCAACGGCAGCGCCTCGGGGCCTCCAGCTGCCCTTTGCACTCGAGAATAATCCAAAGGAACTGAGTGCAGAGAATAATCCAACCCCACATCCTGCAACTCCACATCCTCATTCTGCAACCCCACATCCTGCAACTCCTCATCATGCAACTCCTCTTTCCGAACACCTGGGTCAACAGAAGCCGACAGAGTGTCAGGAAATGGAGCGTGGCAAACTTCAGAGCTTGAATCCAAGAAAACAGTATGCTGAGAATAATGCAACTTCTCATTCAGCACCTCCTCACTCTGCAAATCCTCATCCTGCAACTCCTCGTCCTGCAACTCCTCATTCTGAACACCAGGATCAAAAGAAACAGAGCCCAGTCTCGACTGCAGCCCACCATCAGGAGACTGCACCACATCTGGAGAATACGCAACCGAATGAGACGAGAAAGCTTCTCCACGATCAGTTGGCCCAGCAGTTGGCACCGATAAGGAACTCAACAATATACTGACCTGCTCCTCCGAGTTCCCCTGAAACGGGCATGGGTTTCGCGCACAATCATCGAGGTTATCAAACCAGCCAAACGCGGGGAAAGTATTCGGATCAGCCACAAACTATGGATCACGAGCATTAAATTGCATAACATCAAATACAGCCTGTCTACAAATCGCCAGTTTGATTCTCCTTGTTTTTCTTTTCCAACTGGTCGAAACAGAACTCATCGAACAAAATTGCGCTGTCATGATGCCGCACAAGGAAGGGGCACGCAACAACAACTAATCAATCCAATGCCGACAGATCACCCGTTCGGTACTCAGAGATGTACGTTACGTGTGCATGCACAACCTGTCCGCACGACGCGGCTCGAGGAGTCCCCGACGGGCCAAGGCCGCGGGAGAGCGGGAGGTAAGCTCCGCTTCCGCAACCTTGGTTACCGCCGGGAACTCGTAGAGCGTCCACGTGCAACGCGGGCGCGGCAATCTCGCATTCCGCACGCGCGAGGGCGAGCAAGATCAGAAGAAGGAGGAAGAGAAGGAGGCGGAATAGGAGAAGGAGCAGATGGAAAAGGGAGAGGAGGATGAGAAGGGGGATGAGGAAGAGGACGAGGATCAGAACTACGCATAGTTTTTTGTTCTAGCTCCGGTAGCAAACCGAGTGCGAATAGTTTTTGTTTGGTTCCAACTCTGGAAGCAGACCCAGTACGGGCATCTAGATGCGTGAGACTAGCGCGTCTGACGATTTCCGTCCGATTGCTGTGCCAATGAACTCTGTAGCTCATCTGCAGCTCGAGTTACGTGAAGAAAGAGACAATCAGTTCTTTAAATAATAGCAGAGTACGAATACTCTGTTTCGGACACAGCTTTGGTAGCAGACCGAGTTGAGGTATGTAGATACTTCAGACTAGCGCTGATGATCATGCCCTCCCGATTGCTGTGCCAAACAGCTCTGCAGCGCATCTGCGGCTCGAGATAAGTCAAGAAAACCATCATCATATTTAAAACATTAGCAGAATAAAATTAGTTTGTCGGACCCAGCTCTGGTAGCAAAACCGAGTTCGAGCACCTAGATACTTAGACTAGCACACCGGCTGACTCTCTTTCGATTGCTGCGCCGACCAGCTCTGCAGCTCATCAGCAGCTCGAGTTAAATCAAGAAACTTATCATCATCTCGCAAAAACCAACAAAAAAAAACTAATAGTTGAGCGGGTCCAGCTCTGGTAGCAAATCGAGTTGAGACACCTAGATACTTGATACTAGCGCGCCTGATGATTCTATATGAATTAGGTGTGCCTGCCAGCTCTGTAGCTCGTCTACAGCTCGAGCTAAGTTGACAAAACCGACAGCATATGCGAAGATGACACAAAACACCCGATCCCGCCCACCTGTTTTTTGGCAGTAATAGGTACCCGATCGACCTGAAATTAAGATGGCGAGCTGGAATAAGATCGAACATGAAAAGAAAAACTGGGAGCCGGCGGTAAACCGTCAACCTTGGTACCGCAGGGAACTCGTAGAGCTTCCTCGCCGCATACATGAATGGGATGCGGGCGCGGCAATCTCGCATTCTGCGCGGGCGAGGTCGCGGCTTCATGGAGGAAGAGGTGGAGGAAAAGGAGTGAGAGGAGAAGAGGAGGCTGACGAAGAGAACGAGGAGGAGGAAAAGGAGCAGGAGGAGGAAGAGGAGGAGGAGGAAGAGACAGGGATGACGAGCAGGAGGGGGGAAGGGTGGAAGGGGAGAAGAGGGGCGATGATGATAATGAGGAGGGGGAGAATGGAAGAGAAGGAGGAGAAGAAAAGAGGGAGAAGAAGCAATTCAAGGAGGAAGAGGAGGAGAAGGAGGTGGAAGAAGGAGGAGCAGGGGGAGAAGGAAGAAAGAAGAGAAAGAAAGAAGAACAAGAAGGAGAAGGAGATGCGGAGGAGGAAAGAAAGTGGGGAGGAGAAGATTCGAGAAGTGCTTCTCAGCTCTTAACCAGCCGAAGGCTCGAATGAAGTAGAGAAAGCCATCATTCTTTCAGAAAAAGCAGAATACGAATACCTGTTCTGGTTGCAGCTCTGGTAGCAGACCGATCTGAGACATCTAGATACTCAGAAATAGCAGTCCTGATGATGTTCGTCCGATTGCTGTGCCAAACAGCTGTGTAGATCATCTGCAGCTCGAGATACATCAAGAACGTCACAGTCATCATTTGAAAAATTAGCAGAGTACGAATACGTTTCCGGATCAAGCTCTGGTAGCAGAGCGAGTTCGGGAATGTAGATACTTGAGACTAGCGCGTTTGATATTACCTTCCGATTGCTGTGCCGAACAGCTCTGTAGTTCATCTGGAGCTCGAGTTGTCAGAAACCTCATCATCATGAGTACGAATAGATGTTCGACCCCCGCTCCGGTAGCAGAGCGAGTTCGGGCATCTAGATACTTGCGACTAGAGCGTCTGATATTATCTTCCGATTGTTGTGACGAAAAGCTCTGTAGTTCACCTGGAGCTCGAATTGTCAAGAAACTCATCTTCATCTCTGAAACAATTAGCAGAGTACGAATAGTTGTTCGACCCCCGCTCTGGTAGCAGAGCAAGTTCTTGTATCTAGATACTTGACACTAGCGCTGCTGATGCTTCTATGTCGACCGCTTCGCCGAAGAGCTCTGCAGCTCATCTGCAGCTCGAGTTACATCAAGAAAACCATGATCATCTCTTAGAAAATTACCAGCGTACAACTAGTTATTCTGACCAAGCTCTGGTAGCAGAGCGAGTTCGGGCATCTAGATACTTCAGACTGGCGCTCCTGGTGACTCTCTTTCGATTCTTGTGCCGAACAGCTCTGTAGCTTATCAGCAGCTCGAGTTAAGTCAAGAACGTCATGATCATCTCTCAACATAATTAGCAGAGTACGAACAGCTTGTCGAAACTAGCTCGTAGCAGAGCGAGTTCGGGCATCTAGATATTTCAGAGTGGAACGCCGGATGATTCATTTCCGAGTGCTGTGCCAAACAGCTATGTAGCAGATCTGCAGCTCGAGTTACGTCAGGAAAATCATCATCATCTCCAAAGAAAAGACAAAAAAAAAAAAAACTAGTTGTTCGGACCCAGCTATGGTAGCAGACCGACCTCGGACATCTAGATATTTGAGACTGACACGTCTGATGATTCTAAATAGATTAGAGGTGCCTGCCAGCTTTGCACCTCATCTGCAGCTCGAGTTTAGTCAAGAAAACCGACAGCACCTGCCCAGATGACACTGAACAGCTGATCCCGCCTGAGTGCTTTTTGACAATAATATGTACCCGATCGACCTGAGATTAAGATGTCGAGCGGGAATACGATCGGACATGGGTGGAAAGAATGTTAGAGCTCTAACGGATGTTCATATTTCGAGAAACTGATGTTCAATCGTTGTTGGATGAAAAAAAATCCGTCGAGATCTTCTGCCAACTAGCCTCCCGGCGCGCCGGAATTACTCTCTAGCTTCGCCGCTTCGCTCTTAGGGAAGCTCTACGAGTCACTAGCCCTACGGCGCGCTGGAATTACTCCCTAGCTTCGCCGCTTCGCTCTTGAAGCTCGACGAGTCACTAGCTCCACCCCGCGCCGGAACTGGGAGCCGGCGGTAAACCGTCAACCTTGGCTGCCGCCGGGAACTCGTAGAGCTTCCTCGCGCAATGCGGGCGCGGCAATCTCGCATTACGCGCGCGCGCGAGGGCGCTGTCTGATGAAGAAGGACTGAAGAGAAGGAGGAGTGAGGAGGAAGGAGATGAAGGAGGCTGAGGAAGAGAAGGAGGAAGCGGGAGGAGCAGAAAGAGGAGAAGGAGAAGGAGGATCAAGGAAGGC